TCTCTGGGCGCTTCCACGTCCGCTACTGTGATTGTCCAATTGATCGCTGCGTGGAGCAAGTGAGAGTGTCGGCTTTATCGACTCAACTCACAACTCTGGGCATGAGTCACTAAAGGAACATTTTTTGTTGATGTAAATTACTCTGGCGTGTATCGTTGGTCGTGTTAACGGCGAAGCAATTCAATTCCTGTATCTTATTCTCGAAGAAGTTGGACTCGTGGTACAACAATCTTCGCATAGTCTTATCAGTCCAATATCTCGTCGGTGTTTTCGGACTCGCGCTCAGTTTGGCAGAACGTGAGTGGCCACTTGGCTCAGCTTGTTACCAGGACCGGGTCATTACCCAGAAATGACGGTCAGGAAGTATAGAAAGGAGAGGTGTTCATAGAATTTTCCGGAAGGTGTTACAAAAGGGGCAGTTCATTTCGAGAATTCGAATTGTCTGAACTGCAGAGAATGCTCCATCTACCCAGCCATTGGCAGCCAGCCGCATGTGATTTAGTGGTACCAGCGTTGGACGCTAAACATCTCGGATTCAGCCCTCAGTGAGACCACGCTCGGATCTTGGTCAGAGCGCCCGCATTCCACAATTCGGGAACGAAAGCCGTGATGAAAGTGGTCAGCTTCGGTCTGAAGCCGAGTCACCATGCGAGTCAATCAGACGGAGAAGTATTTTTGGGGTGGGTCTATCAGCTGGACTTGCTGCTGGGCTTCTTCCTTGGCTGACTTGGTGCTCGAACATCCCGGTCAACCTTTTTACTAAGCGTACCGGGTCTTGTTTCGCGTTGATTTCATCGGATTGGCTGGTGGCATCACTGCCACAGCTACACTCATTCATGTGTAGATGATCTACAAATCCAACCTCAACATGTAATGTTATCTTTGCCCTCAAAGATCGGGCGATTGTCGGATTAAGAATTGAAGCGTGCTTTCCAGTCAGTGTTCTATCTCACACTTCACCACTTATCTTATCTTATCAGAGCGGGAGTATTTTTAGACATCATGGACTGCGCATGATAGCGCATGATCAAAGGGAACCAGTCTGTCTGATCATCGATCGTTAGCTTACACAATACCTGCAAGAATCCGGATGCTCTGCAAACAGATCCTCGCTGTCATCTCCGAGGTGAAACTGTAATAGACTTCTGTTCACTGTTTCGGTGAACTCGAGGTCCCCTGAAGAAGCCCAATCTTGAGCTTGCATTGGATCGGATAACGGCAAGTGAGCTTGAGGAGCGACTCTGATACTCTGTTTGGCAGAGCGCGCGCAGGTGAGAGTCACATGGAGAGGAGGACGAGGGGCTCCCATCTGCCAGTGGGGCGTACGATTGAAAGCACTTCAAACGTTCGAATGCAGACAGATAGATGCGCCTTGTCGTGGGCGTCATTGTCAACTTCGCGTTCGCGTCCAGAATGCCGAAATGAATGATGTGATGGGAGTCAGGGCGAGTTGGTGGACCTTGGTAGACGCTCCAACCGGATCTCGGAGGCAAATCGCGAGGTACGCCTGGAGGCGCGCGCACCCATCGCATCTCGTCGCCAAGTCGTTTCCGAAAATCCCGTATGATATCGTCTCAAGCGGATTGTTAGATGATCCCAGTCTCTAGCCTAATTTGGCGCTCAGAGAGTCACATGAACCGCGCCCCAACAAAGTTTCCCCCTTTGGATCACAAGTGGAATATACGCATGGCAGGCATACAGCTCCATCGAGGAGAATTTGAGAGTTTAGGAGAGAAGGAGATCGTTCTTAAGTCTGAATTTGTCACCAGCCGTTTGTATTCAAGGTCATGCACGTGGAGTCAACTCATCAATCAATGATGGCATCGGCAAGGCCTCGCCGCAGGGCCCGCAAGGCGGAAAAATCCTCGACCGTGCCTTAAAGGCGGTGCACCCCAGGATCAAGACCTCCCACATTCTGTCCGCCCCTGCCTGCCGGTCCCTGACGAAACGGAGACACAGAAGAACATTCTGCGGTGCGCTCTGCCTGTCAGACGGCCGACGTCGACGACCGTGACTCGTTGTTTGTCATCGCTTCTCCCTTTCTGCCCTCTCTCCCTTCGACCGTCCCCGATAACGCTCTTCTCCGCTATCCACGCACATCTCGCTCACACACACGATGCCTCCCCCCGAAGAGTATGATGAGCTGGACGCCGACGGGGAAGTCGATGGCCTGGACTCGTCTGCTACCAACAGTACAGCACCCTCCCAAACGACAGCGACAGCAGCCTCTTTGGCTGCCGCAAGCGGCGTCGGCAAACGATACCGCCCTGCCCCTGCGAAAACCTTTCAGTGCCGTGGATATGGAGAGTGCAGGATGGTTTTCAGTCGGAGCGAGCACTTGGCGAGACATATACGGTGTGTTCTTCGTTACTATGCATCCAGCATTCTATCTTTCGTTATCGTTGCGTCTACTGCCCACATCTCTGCTGTTCTCTGGCGGTCCTTTCACCTTTTCTGTATTCGTTCCCTTGGGCTCTGCCACGGTGATTTACCCGAGCACAATGCCCTTTTTGGTTCTGCCTTCACCAGAGTAGATTGTGCTGCAGATTCATATCCGTCTCTATGCGACTCTGGTCGCTCTTCGCGCCCGTACTCGCCTCGGCCCTCCTACACTTCGAAATGTCTGTTGTGTGATGTTGCGGCTCTGTCTATCACTTTACCTGAGCCCGGACGCTGATGGCGCCACCCGGCCCAATCTTACTCTCTTTTTCGATCCTGATTTCGATTGCGATCCTCAACTCTTACTCATCTTTTGATTGCAGAAAGCACACGGGTGAACGCCCCTTCACATGCCACTGCGGGAAGCAGTTCTCCCGTCTCGATAACTTGCGCCAGCACGCGCAGACGGTACACGCGGAAAATCCAAGCCGCAATGAAGCTATGATGCGTGACTTGGCCAGCGTGCATGCCACGATGACCGCTGGGAACGGGAACTTGGCAACGACGAATGCCGCGTCCCCTAGCGCCGAAGAAACGGGTGCCAGCACCACAGCGACGGTCAAGCGGACTGCAAGTAAAAAGCGCCCGAACACCAAGGCTGGAGGGGTCAAGGTCAAGAAGGAGTCCGTGGAAATGCTCCCCAGCCAGCGACCGGGCACCTCGACCGGGTATGAGGGCGCAGCTGCTTCGTATCCAGACACTTCCGGCATGGATGTCGACGGAGAAGGCGAAGATGATGAAGATGAAAGAAGAGAAGAAGTTGACGTAGTGCGTTTCTTCTTTTGTCACCGACGTCGCCGTGCTAAAGAGATGGTGGCAGAAACCACATGTCCGGAGTACACAAACCCAAGCAACAATCCCCCGCCGCGCACCTCATCAGCCCTCCCCGCCATCAGAGTTGGGGAGGGCGCGTTCGTTTCGGTCCTCGCAGTTTCGAGCCAACTCCGGCGGATTTCGGCCGAGCTCAGCCAGCGCCAGCTCTGCCGCCATCGCCCCCGAGGGTCCTTTCGTGATCCTCTCCCCGCTCAATCATCATTCGGAGTTGGGAGAGATCGAGAGTCATTTCGAAGGTGCGTGTACTAAGCTTCATGATGGCGTGCTATACTGACCGCATGACTGCTCTGCGCATTCAGCCACCCCTATGCACGGCGGTCACCACCCGAGCTCACCCCATCCCCTCCCATCACCCAGAACCGGGTCACCTCTGGGCGCCCATTTTCGTCCGCATCCACCGGGTTCGATGGTCTTCCCGGCTCAAGGCCTGGGACCGGGGGAAATGGTACACGACTTCCGCCCATCACAGCATTCCTCCCCGCTACCGGGCTTCGCCCCGGGTCCAGCTCCAGTCGACCCGGGTCCAGTTCCCAGTCCGGAGGATTATCAGCAGGAGGGATACTCCTTCCGGGTTCACTCACCTTACGGCGACCCTCGACTGGCCACGACTGGGAATGGGGCGATGCATGGGACGTCCGACCTGGGACTGCCCCCGGAAAGCTCCTCCCCTCACGTGCTGCTCCCCCAGACCTCGACGATGCATCTCCGTTCTCATTCCATGTCCCCGACCAGCCAAGTGCCGCCAGCGCCGCCGCCAATCACGGGGGCTCACGCAAACGCCCGCTCGGCGGCCCGGATGGGCCGTATGGGCCGTATCCAGACGACGACGGCGGCAAGTCCCGGCCCGCGAGTCGGCGCTTCTCCGTCATGGAGCTCTGCAACGACAACCAGCAGCGACCGCCCACACGTGAGCGGGAGCGGCCGACGACGACCAATGGGCTCATCTCACGTGCCTCGGCGCTCGTCCTCGACGATCGAGATGCGGAACACGACGCCGTCTTTGCCTGGGAGGCGGGTGAACAGCATTTCGCCCCCGCCGACGGTCCCATTGCTGGCACAGCCCCAGGGAGTCGACCGGGAAGCGTACGCGGACGACATGCGGCGGCACCAGGAGGACCAACTGCGCCTGACGCTTGGCCACGAGATGAGCGGCGGCTATCCGGAGTCCCATCACTCGCATCCCCAGGCGCATCAATTCTATCAAGGGTATATGCTGGACCAGCCGCAAGCATACCAGGACTACCACCACCCGTATCAGACGCCTGGTCTCGAGATGCGGATGGAGCAGATGCAGATGATGGAGGCAGCCGGTTCGGGATATCCCGGCTACCAGCACCCTACGGGCTATCCGCTTCCGTACGAGCAGCCTCCCGAGATGGGTCATCACCACCCGCAGGAGTACCCGCTGCCCCCGGACGCGGGACCGCATTTGGAGGCGGTCTCCCCGGGATCGCCCTACTCACAACACGGCTTCCACCTCAGTCAACAGCCGCTTTCACCCTACCCCCACTACGGTCCGGAGACGGTTCCGTTTCACCCCGATCCCCAACATGGGTTCAGCAGCAGCACCACCGTGTACGGAGCTTCGACTATCAGCCCCCAGGACACGTTCAAGCTGTACGACGCGGATCTCCTGGAGATGAATATGAATATGACCGTCGGGTTGAGAGCGGAATGAAGGTCTGATCCTGTCTTGTAGCAATCTAATATTCTTGCCTTTACTTTAATACACCTATCTACGTACTCCAATCTACTATCTACACGCTGTGCTTGTATATACCTGCCTCCAACGTCGTTGTTTGCTGGAGTTGGTTTGGCCGATCGAATGAGGTGATCGGAAGTTTCCAGCGGGTTACACTACTCCCGATGGACGTCATTAACGCACACGGTGACCCACGCTCGCCAAAGCTTACAAAAGCTCTCGGCAGGCAGCCCTCCTCACTTCCCACTCACAGACAGACCCAATCGATATGGCTCCTACCAAGATACTCTTTACCGGCGCGACTGGTTATATCGGCGGCACCATCCTCTCGCGATTCCTCGCGGAACCCGACGCGTCGTCGCGCTTCGCTTTCACGGTCATCGTGCGCGACCCGAAAAAGGCAGAGAAGTTCAAGCAGTTCGGCGTAACGCCCGTTGTTGGGAGTCACTCTGACGAGACGTTGGTCGAGGAGCTGGCCAGCCAGGCAGAAGTGGTCATTGCCACGGCGCGTTGCTCTATTTATGCTATTCCTGCTCAGCGGTGCTGATCCGCGCTCTTTCACAGGCCGATTGCGATGATGTCGTCGCTGCGAAGGCAACCCTGGCCGGCTTGAAGAAGCGGGCTCAAGCTACAGGGACGCCGCCCATCTTCATCAACACCGTACGCGCATCCAGTCGTACACCATCGTCCGGATCCTCACCCTCCCTATTGACAGTCCGGTACGGGTGAGATCTGCGACAACGCACGCGGGCTTTTCGCGGAACCGAGCGTCTATGACGACACAAACGCGACACAGATGGCATCCATCCCGCCGGAGGCCATGCACCGCAACGTCGACAACGCTATCCTCGCCGCGGACGTGTCGCAGCCAGGGGGCTTCGTCAAGACTTACATCATCCTCCCTGGAACCGTGTGGGGCCTCGCGAAAACGCCTTTGGTGGCCGCTGGCATTCAGAACGACCACTCGATCCAGATCCCTTCGCAGATCCAGGCGGCCATAGATCGCAAGCGTGCGGGGATGGTCGGTGAGGGGAAGAACATCTGGCCCAACGTCGAGGTACATGACTGTACGTGCCTGATCTACGTTGTGTTCTTTGAGTCGCGATCTGAGCCGTGACCAGTGGCGGAATTGTTCTATATCGTCTACGACAAAGTAACCTCAGGTGCAGACATCGGCCACGGATATGAAGGATTCTTCTTCGGCGCCAGTGATGATCATACGCTTCTTGAGGTTGCACAAGAGATAGGGAAAGCTCTCGTCGCTACTGGCCGCAGTGACAACCCCGAACCAACGAGCTTCACGAAAGAGGAGCTGGACAAGTACTTCCAGGTGAGTGCAGATGTTCTCTGATAACAGAACACTGAATACTCTCTCAAGGGCTCAGAGTATCTCGGTTCCAACTCACGCTGCAAGGCGAACCATTCGTTTTCAATTGGATGGAAGCCGGCGAAGAAAACAGCGGACATGCTAGCCGACATTCCGGATGAAATTGAAAGTCTGATTAAATCCGGTCGAAGCATCCAGCTTCGCTAGATTCGCATGTATAAAAGACCTTTGCAATATGTATAACAGTCACGGTTTTGAAGTTTTGAAAATGGATAATATGTACTCAACCATGAGATCTGAACAGGAAAACGAACTTCTGCATCGAAAGCCGGATGGTTTTAGATTGTCGCGCTGGAGTGAGTCTTCCGGATATCATCCGTGCTCAGGAATCATAGAAATTCAAGTACGTTAGTGTTGTGATGCAGCATACATGTTTTTATTTCACTTCAGCATTGAGCGACCAGTCGGCGATTCCTTCGAGGGTCGAAAGGCGGAGCCGGAAGACGACCGACAAACTTAAATCAGCGTAGAATTGAACGGCTGAGCCCTTGAACGCCAACCCAAGTCGGGAAAGGACTAGCTACAACGAAGGGCAGAATTCTCGGTGCTCAGAGAGCTCGTAGCCCAGAACCATGCGTTGCGAAGAGCGGAAAATCAACTTTCGAAATCAAGGATTCGAGTCAGAGTGGGCAAGTGGTCGCTCAGGGTCGATTTCTAGAGCTGAAATTTGTTTGCTCCCCAGGCGTGCAATTTGCACCACAGATGTGACGACCATATCTCCCCTCCCATCTTGTCGTCAGCAGTTGAGGGACCTCAAGGTTATAAGATGTGGGTGTATCGACTCAAGTGGATGGAAATCGACCGTTGAGGCTAATCCTCCGCGCCGGAGACAAAACCAGTAGCACCGCCCTGACACAGAATTTTTTCAACTGTCCGTCTCACATGGATTTGACAACGCGGGTCTGATCTCCGTCGGCGATCTCCGGGTTGAAGGGCTTACAAGGGTGAAGCTCTTCTTTGAAAGAATGACACTGTTCAGGAAGCTCATTTCAAAAATTTCCGCTTGGAGGAATCTGTGCATTTCGCCGTCGGCGAGAGCACGTTCCCAAGACGAGGCACACACACAGAGCGCGTTGACTCAGGGGTGTGGCAGCCTCACTCACTGGAGACATTTCGCCGCTCCTCGCTGTAAGCTTGCCCTGAAGCCTTCACCACGAGCTTTTGATGCTCAACTTCTGTAAGGCGTCGTGCCTATCATCTGGACAGGCGTGCTGCGGCCTGGTGATAATGGATGCCCGCCTGATCGTTGCAAACAGTTGGCCCATCTGTGGATAAACACTGTCCCTCTGTCTCGAGCCCAATGAGGGGATAGAGGAAAGGGCGTTGTCTCCCTTTTAACGATCTCGATTCACGTTTCCTTTGTGAGGAGAGGTTCTGATGGAGAGGAGAACTGTGGCGTCACTCCTCATCACGAGCGATCTCGTGGCATCAATGCGCTTAAATCTTGATTGATGGGTTGCTCGCTCCTGATCTGACATGCGACGAGGGTAACAATACTCAAGTGGTCTTCAGCATCGGTGCCGCATGCCTTAGCGGGTAATTTTCATGCCAATGACTCTCCAGAAACAATATAAAATTCGACAGAACGGACGATGATCCAAGTCGGATGAACCCGTCACGTGCATCATTAGAAGTACATATGGTGGCAAAGCATGACTTCTCTTCCTCGTTACCCGTTATCTTTTTCGAATTTACGTGGGTCTTTAAGACGCGCAGAGCGACAGCATCAACGACTGCGAAGCTGCTCACGGCTGATAATTCCCATGTCCCGCCATCCGCAGCACTGGTTGTCACTTCGAATGCACATCTCCGGCTAGCTCCAGTGCACCGACGTGATCGATGCCGGCACTCTACCATGAAGCTTGTTGCGCGTCATTTACTCTGACTAAATTCCCATCCCGCGTCCGTGATGCAAGCAGAAGTTGGTAGCATGGAGGTCGAGACGCTGATTTGAGCCTGGGAAGTCATCCCTGTTACGACCTCGTCCGCGCTGCCAGGCATCGCGTATGAGAACCAGCGCATATAAAGGACCCTCTCGCTCTCTCTTCATCATTCTACTACTCAAGCATGATTTCCTCAATCGTCATCCCCATCTCTGCTGCTCTTGTTTCCACCGCTATCATCTTCATCGGGCGGATCCTCTTTCGCAACTGGACTTCGCCCCTCTGGTTCGTTGATGGCCCTTCTGCCTCGAATCCTATCTTCGGTCACTTCAGGATGGTTTCGGTGCGACTCAACCATAGTGTCTTGCGCTCTGTTTCATTACGATCTCAAAGGATATTCCCGGAATCACGAATAAGTGGCGAGAACAGTACGGTGCAACGTTCATGGCGAAAGGACTCTTCCTTGTGAGCCTAGCCATCTACTCACGGCCAGAGCTCGTTGATTTCATTTGAAAACGTAGGAGAATGAGCTTCACACCAAAGACCTCAAGGCGATATCGCATATCCTCTCTCACGGGACCCGTTATCCGAAGACGTATGCGATGACTGCTACCCTCCGACGGACCTTGGGAAAGGGTATTCTTTCGGTTGAGATGGATCCCCATCGGCGCCAGGTGAGCAACGCTCATCTTTGACTAGCACGTTTGAAGGCTCACAAATCACGCAGCGCAAGATCCTGGTACGACTTTCTCATTGATGCACTCTTTGAGGCTCAACGGGCTGATCTGCGCTACTTCACAGAACCCCGCTTTTGGTCCCCAGCAGATCCGGATGATGAACGAAGTCTTCGTCGAGAAAGGGAACATGGTGGGTTTTTGTGTTTTCGCTCCTATGCCATTCTTTGTCTTACTGAAATCCATCGAAGCTGCGGGACATGCTGATGGAAGAAATTGAGAAGGCAGGTGGGACATTCAACGTGAACCTGTCCAGTTGGTTCCGCCAAGTCACGTTAGATATCATCGGTGAAACTGGTGCGCGGGTACGCTCGGCTGTTGTACTTGACTGATTCAATTACAGGATTCAATTATCAATTCAACTCCCTCAAGTCGCATGGCAAGGACGAAGGGGAATTGAGCACCGTCTTTGGGCTCATGTTTCACAACCCCAAAGCGAATCTCAACCGCGCGGTCCAGTTCGCCCAGGTGGCTATTCCGTTCTTGCAGTCCCTGGTGCGCAATGTTTGGTCGGTTTACATCAAATTATTGACCATCGATCCCCAGCCGCTCCCGGGTTGGCGAGTGACTCGTTTCATCCAGAAGAGAATGCGGGCTATCGGGAAACAGTTGGTGGAGAAATCGAAGGCAGAGGCTGCTGCCCTTGGGGAAAAAGACTTGGGCTCAGGTCGTGACATTTTGTCGCTTCTTTTGAGGGCCAACATGTCCAGCGATATTCCTGAGGCGCAGCGGATGACCGAGGAAGAAGTGATTGCTCGTGAGAGTCCTCTGTTGCGTCTGGCGAAGATACACTCAATGTGACGTTACAGAGATCCCGACTTTCGTTCTGGCTGGACACGAGACTACCAGCACTGCCCTTGCCTGGGTTGTACACGTCTTGTCGCGGCATCAGTCTGTTCAGGACGAGCTTCGCCAGGAGCTACTAACAGTTCCCACGGAGACTCCGACGATGGACGAGCTCAGCGCTCTGCCGCTGCTCGAGAAGGTGATCAGAGAGACCATGCGCTTGCACGCTCCGGCCGTCCACACGAACCGTGTTGCAGTCCAGGATGACGTGTTACCGCTGAACAAACCGTATGTTGATCAGTACGGTGTTTCGCACGAAACTCTCCCGTGCGTTTGTCTCCTCATATAATGATGCACATCGCAAGACTGAAGATTATCTACACAGGATCCGCAAGGGACAAGTCTTCACGATCCCCATCCTGGCCATCAACACTGACAAAGAAATTTGGGGAGACGATGCACTCGAGTTCAAGTACGCTCAGTCCCTGCAGCCGTGATCGGAGTTTGACCTGCTCCCTTGCGATAGAGTCGAGCGCTGGGATAACCTCCCAGAAGCTGTCCACGGGATCCCCACAGTTTGGGCCAATCAGCTCACCTTCCTGGCCGGCCCACACAGCTGCATGGGCTTCCGTTTCACTGTCGTCGAGTACGTCTCCCTCGCCTGTCCGACTACAGATGAAAGTCGCTGACACAGAAACAGACAAAAGGCGATCTTGTTCAGCCTCTTGCGGCACTTTGTCTTTTTGCCCGGTTCGGACAACGTTGAGCCTGCTATCAGCGGGCTCTTTCAGCGCCCGATCTCGTTTGTTGCCTCCGGTCAAGTTTCTGGCAAAGTCGGCGCTGATGCCGAGAAGTCTGGGTTGATTTCCTTGGGTGGTCTGCAGGTGGTTTTGAAGCCGTACAAGGGTCAAGGCGCCCTGTAAAGTGCAGATCAACTTGGCATGGTTTGCTAGCTATATACTTACTCTCTTTTGAATTTGATACAAGTAGACGTTCTTTCACACATATTCATCTTTGGCATTTGAGAACTAGCTCTTTTATGAATACTGGAGCAGAACTAAATCCGTCGCTCATCGACCCGTGTTCTGCGCCCTCCGGTTAGTTTGCGCAAGAATCGTGTGCATGACAGGCCGCTAGTTAGATTTATGACAGGCCGCGCGTTTCCAGATATAACTTGAATGGCTTTGTATGCAGCCGTAGCGAATCCATAGAATCTTTTCGCGCCACTTTGCAGTTCACTGGATTGCGGACCCAGTGCAGACCACACGCTCCGAGTAAAGCTCACGTTGGGGATGCCTACATGCCGCCGGCTCGGGGAACTTGGCAACGGATATCACCGTATACGCTGATATACGAATCGTGGATCGACCTAGGCCAAACTTGCGCCGAGAGCCCCCGAACTTGGATGAAAATTTGACTTTGCGATGTGAGCTACAAGTCAGGGTGTTTTAGATGTTGATTTCAACGAATATCTGTGATATTAAGAAAGTTCTTGCGTTGATAATCGGTCATGATCGACGTGCCATCACTTCATGGCACTCGGAACACCAGGCAGTTCGGCCAGCCCTGTCTTGTGCTTCGATAGACTGATCTTGGTGATCTCATCGCTACAAAGAGAGACTGTGCATATATTGTTGTCTGCTTGATGCGACGTTGTTGAAAATGATCGAAATCCTCTGGATCATCGACGAATCAGCGCGGTGTGTTAAATTGAACTCCGCGCTGATGATGATCAAATGCTTCGCACGGCATCGCAAGTGATTAGTAATGAGCTCTTGGTCCCTGGACGCGGCAGCCAACCGAAGTCCACGATCTTCACCGGGAGCTAACCGGACGGTGCTTCCATCTACGTGTGACAAGTCATGGATTCTTTGCCAAAGACGTCAGAAATGTATTGTTAGAGCTCGAGCCGCTAGGCGACTCAGTCGTTTGGAATTGGGATGGGAGCCGGCGGGAAGCAGAATCATCATGATCCAACGCACACTCGTGTTTGAAGAGCTCAGATGGTTGAGTCTACAATACTTCCATGTCGCCACAATCAGCTACGCGTTGCCTTCACAAATCGACCGCTGGTTTCAAAATTCGAGTTTTTTGCATTGGCATGAGGCCAGATGACTTGCCGCACGAAAACTGGATGGGTGGAACGAGTCGGGAATATTGCGCAGCTCGTTTGCTCCACCGTCTTTACTTTGATTGGTATCATCTGTCTAGATGTACTCTATTTGAAGTGTCACGTGCATCGAGTTCCTGAGGAACTGCGCCACTTTTCTTTGCCTCGCTTTCAGCACCCTGCTTCGAGAGCGCTTGCGCGATCCTTTTAGCGCGCATTCGTCCCCAGTGATAATCGGTATATGCTTCATGACCCTTGCAGAACAAAGGTGACACTGCTCAGAAGCTTCATTCTCGTCTTTTGGTCATTTACTCTGACGAAACACCTTCCCAGTCTTCGTGATGCAATGAGAAGTTACTAGTGTGAGAGTTGAGACGCTGATGGGAAGCAAGTTGAGTAATCCTTTGTTACGACTTGGCCGGTTAAACGAACTCTATATAAGGTCGGTACTCTCAGATCGAATCCCTCACCCTCAAGCATGATCTCCGCCATCGTTGTCCCGACTGGTGCTGCTCTCCTCCTATACATCTTTCTGTACATCGGTCGCGCCCTTTACCGAGACTGGACATCGTCACTCAAGTTCATCGATGGCCCGCCGTGTGCAAACCCTGTGCTCGGACATTTCATGTTGATTTCGGTGCGACCAGGCTGTTTATCGTCTTGCTCATATCGTACTCACAGCTAACAGGATAAACCCGATACTACTATCAAATGGCGAGAGCAATACGGCGCAACTTTCATGGCGAAAGGTCTCTTCTGGGTGAGTTGTTCCAAGAAATCCAGATTCGTCGCAAAGAAATTCAACCGCTTGGTGCAGGAAAACCAGCTGAACACGAAGGACATCAAGGCAGTGACTCACATCCTCACACATGGCTCGATGTACACGAAGACATCGGCAGCAATCTCGACAGGCTTACGTCTTTTGGGCGCCGGGATCCTTTCCGTCGAGTTGGATCCGCACAGACGCCAGGTAATCAGATTACTGCAGGCACCTGTCCCGGTTCTTACTGAATCTTCCGCAGCGTCGAATTCTGGTGCGCACAATGCCCCTTTTTTGCTCTACCCTTGATGACGTTCCCTGCAGAACCCTGCATTTGGCCTGCCGCAGATCCGGGTGATGAATGAGGTGTTTGTCGAAAAGGGAAATATGGTATGTGACCTCGCAGCCACCCACGCAGTAGAAGCCTCACCAAGAGTGAAGTTGCGTGACATGCTGACAAAAGAGATTGAAGATGGAGGCGGGAGGGTCACCCTCAATCTGTCAGCATGGTTCCGTCAAGTCACGCTCGACATCATTGGACAGACTGGTGCGTATCGAAGGCTTACTTTGTCCATGTGTTGGCTCAGTCTGTCAGGCTTCGGTTATCAATTTAATTCTCTGGAATCACGCGGCAAGGACGAAGCGGAGCTCAGCACGGTCTTCGGTCTCATGTTCAACAACCCCAAAGCAAACCTCAATCGTGCTGTTCAGTTCGCTCAGGCAGCGATACCGATGCTGGAGTCCCTGGTGCGTGATTGAAAGATGAGAAATATCGAAATTCCCATCTCCTCGCTCATCAGCCACTGCCCGGTTGGAAAGTCACTCGTTTCGCCCAAACAAAGCTGCGCGCGATCGGAAAACAACTGATGGAAAAGTCAAAGGCTGAATGTGCGGTTCTTGCAGAAAAGGACTTGGGTTCAGGTCGCGATCTCTTATCGCTGCTCATAAAAGCAAACATGTCCGCTGACATTCCCGAGAGTCAACGGATGAGCGATGACGAGGTGATCGCTCGTGAGTGGTCTTTTTCCCTTGTTAACCCGGTGTTTGAATTGTCGATGCAGAAATTCCGACATTCTTGCTGGCTGGGCACGAGACAAGTAGCACCGGACTCGCCTGGGCTGCGCACGCCTTGTCGCAACATCCAGCCATTCAAGACCAGCTCCGCCGAGAACTGCTCACCCTCCCAACGGAGACTCCTACCATGGACGAACTCAACTCGCTCCCATTCCTCGATAAAGTCATCAAAGAGACAATGCGCTTATATTCGCCGGCTTTCTCGACGCAGCGTATGGCCATCCAAGATGACGTGTTGCCGCTGAGTAAGCCGTATATCGACCTTCAGGGCATTTCCCACGACACTCTACCGTTCGTCTACTATCTGCTTTGGTGACCAAAAATGGCAATGACTTACAACGCAGGATTCGTCGAGGACAGGTTCTCACGATCCCAATTCTGGAAATCAACACCGATAAGGAACTCTGGGGAGAAGACGCACTCGAATTCAAGTACGCTCCACTTGCTGCGGTGCCATCCACGGGTTGTTTTAACATCTCCCTAGACCCGATCGCTGGGACAACCTTCCTGAAGCCGTCCATTCTATCCCGAGCGTGTGGGCGCACCAGCTCACATTCATCGCTGGTCCTCATAGTTGCATTGGGTTCCGCTTCACCGTGGTCGAGTGCGTTGAACATTTCCTCTCCAAACCCAGATTGCGCTATCTGACACTCCTCATCAGGCAGAAAGCAATCGTATTTAGTCTCCTGCGGACCATCGAGCTTCTGCCGGGTTCAGAGAAGGTCGCTCCCGCCATCACGGGATTGTTCCAACGGCCAATCTCGTTCGTTCGTGGCGGAGAGGGCAAGCCTGGTTTGGTTTCCACTGGGGGTCTTCGCATCGTGATGAAGGCGTGCAAGGGTAATGCTGCTTCCTGAGATAGAAGCCCTAGATTTTCTGCTTCTCCTCTCCCGAAACAGCGTACATCGGAGTCACAGGTTTAATCGGATTTTGAATAGACAATCGCCTGATCCAGGTATTGAATTGAACGGGGAAAGCTCAACTGAAAAGCCGGAAGCAGTGACTGCATACTCCGTGGAGCTCTCTTTGTCGCCAGTATAAGTTGAAGATTGATGGAACTCTTCCCGTGATCTTTTGCTCATGGGGATCCTCTGAAACTCTAAATAAGCTGAGCGCTATTGTGGACACCACATGGAACGTGATGAGTATGGAGGCCGGGAACTATATGCTGATAAACGGAGGACGTATCACTGATACGCGATAGTTTGCCGACATAGGATCAATTTCATGATGCGCTCCATGTCATGATGCGCCTATCTGGACGGCTGAAAACGTTATACTAATAACCGATGTCTGAATCGTGGATGGCCGCTCGGCAGATATTGATCAGATGATTGACGCAATGATCAAGACCCCAGGTAGCCGACTATCGCAATATCGCAACATCGTAATATTCGAAAAGCGCAACATTCGAGATAGGATCAGCGGCCGGGTCGCCGGCGCGAGCAGGCTCGTCGCAAGTCCGGACTCCCAGGCGACATTCCAGGGCAGCGGTTCGTACGTCGTGTTCGACTGGGGAAGGAGGTGCGCGGCCTCCCTGATACAGCGCCGTCGAGGGTCAATTCACACACCCATACTGTAGCTTGGGGGGATCCTGTCGCTGACGATCAACAACGCGACGGCCCAGTCGCAGTTCTCACTGTCGTTCACCGAGTCCGCGGAGTTCATCAGCCCGCTCAAGTTGGACGACTCGTGCCAGCCCGCACGGCTGCAGAACTGGGACAGAATCCAGACGTTCCACGTGCCGCGAGCCACGGGGCTGCTGACGCAGACCGTGGGACAGCAGCGCGGCGGGTTCCGCTTCCTGACGATTGTGAGTGCGAGCGCGGACCCGCTGACGATCTCGAACATCTCGCTGGCGATCACGTTCATGCCCCACTGGGATGATCTCAGGGCGTACCCGGGCTACTTCTTTGCACCTGACCCCGGGTTCCACGACATCGACTGCCTCACGAAGATCTGGTACGCCGGTGCGTCATCGCCTGTTTGCTGGCTGATGTGGCAGAGCGTGGCGTGGGTGGGGGCTGACCGCTAGCAGGCACTATAGGGTGCAGACCAACACAATCCCTCCCCACACGGCGCGACAGGAGCCGTGCCCAGCAGGAGGTTCGTGTCGGCGTGGATCTGAATTTTGGACTCAAACTGTGCGATCACATTTGTAGGTGGCTGGTCCAACGATGCCTTGGGAGGAGCTGCCACTGGGCCTATCCTCGTCGATGGTGCAAAACGCGACAGGTGAGGAATGGTCGGTCGCGATCTGTGTGTGCAATCCCTGCTGATGACATTGGTACTGTCAGGAACATCTGGCCAGGTAACCCCTCATGCTCATGGACGCGATCTAACCCTCGGACTCATGCGACGGATCAGGCGACTGCGGCATCTCCACACACACGGAGCTCGTCGCGCTGAGCGACATGGAGCCGACCAAGAACTCGTTGATGGTGATGTTCCGCACGCAAAACCTGACGACTGGCGCGCTGCAGTACTCCGGGCCGCCGCTGAACAACCAGGGAAGCGACACGTACATCTCGTGGTCGCTCATTGGGACGCACAACTACTTCCTGTACACGGGCGACCTCGATTTCATCAAGTCTGTCTGGGCGAACTACACCAAGGCGGTTGGCTTCCTTGAGGGCCAGGTGGACTTGACCGGCCTGATGAACGTCTCGTCTGCGCTCTCGAACGACTGGGGCAGGGCCAGCGGCGCCGGACACAACTCTGCGGCAAACGCGTTGCTTTATCGCGTGAGGATTGATTTCTGTCTCTCGCATCATGTATCCGCGCTCATCAAGCTCGTAGACGCTCGTCACCACGGCGGACCTGGCGACGCATCTCGGCAATGTCTCCCTCCCCGCCACATACCTCGCCAACGCGACCAAGATCAAAACTGCGTTCAACAGCCTGCTGTGGGACGCCGCGGCGGGCCGGTTCCGCAGCAACGACCTGCCGAGGAGCATCCACCCGCAGGACGGCAACGCGCTCGCGGTCCTGTACAACCTCACGACATCGGACGCACAGAACAAGGCCGTGAGCGCCGGGCTGATGAAGTTCTGGACGCCCATCAGGCCGTGGCTTCGAGGTGCGTGTTGCGCTGGTGGTTTGTGGTTTGCGTGTCACCTGCGCGACAGATCCAAGCGCATTTTGTGGCCGGCAAGGGCGAGCGGGCAATTGATCTGATCGAGCGCGAGTGGGGGTACATGCTGGAAACCAACTTGAGTGTCAAGTCGCCGCTGCTAGAGGGCTTCTCGGCCAACGGATCGCTCGGGTGCGTGTCGTATCAATCAGCTGCGGCAAGCTGTTGGTCCTGATCTGTACGCATGGTTCTCGGATGAGGAAGACTCCCGCGAAAATGATTAGTGAATTACAGTAATTACATGCTCACTACGCTATCTCGAATATTACACTATCTTGAATGTTGCGCTTTTCGAATATTACGATGTTGCGATATTGCGATAGTCGGCTACCTGGGGTCTTGATCATTGCGTCAATCATCTGATCAATATCTGCCGAGCGGCCATCCACGATTCAGACATCGGTCATTAGTATAACGTTTTCAGCCGTCCAGATAGAGCGCATCATGACATGGAGCGCATCATGAAATTGATCCTATGTCGGCAAACTATCGCGTATCAGTGATACGTCCTCCGTTTATCAGCATATAGTTCCCGGCCTCCATAGATGAGTGACGAGCTGTCACATCACAAGGATCAGGGTGACCCTCATCTTCATAATCCGACCATTAGCCCCGTCGAGTTCACCAACGAAAAGCGTTCCTTCTATCTGACTCGTGAGACGTCCAGCAAATATGTCTCTTCTACGGCGATGCCATCCCATCTGTCCAATTCGACTTCTCGAAGCCCAGAGTGTCGCATCGCAGGACTCGGAGAAGGCCTTAGCATTCTCGCTGGCCGTCACGGCCAACGCTTAGTCTGTGAGAATGTCAGTGGCTCTCCTCGCTTTTGCTTTCATACGATTTCATTGCTGGGGCAGATCTTCCGACGCACAAGCTCAAAGCGCTTACTGACGCCCAAAGCCATGGCCAAATTCACAGACTGGAAGTGTCTGATTTGCGGCAACTTCCACGCTGCTGTCCACCCGTACAGGTATGCTGTTTCTTCTGGTTTATGTCCCTCTTAGGTGGACTAAGGACATAGTCACAAGCCTTCTTCAGTGCGCTCAGCCCGTCAAAGACTTGGTCGCTCAATCATGCACTGGCCTATTTCCTCTCCCTTCTTGCTATCGTTCTATCAACGAAGTTTGTTCTTTCGCCAAATCCGACGCATTCACTGAGGAAGCCATGCTTGCAGAAGTCCTTGGGCCATTGCTTTCATCATCACGATCGATTCAGACGACTCAATCGACATCGATCATCCGACCCTCGTCCTCCGAGCCTGCTATCCAACACGGACGGATGACTGACGCCCCTCTGTCAAAAAAACTGCGGCTTCGACACAGTGCGGCCTTTGTTCGTGAAGCTGGCCAACTGCCAGAGCCTCCGAAAGATGATGCGTCAAGCATTGAAGTGTCGCTCAAGAGGTGGATGAGAATTCAACGACATTCCAGTGCGCCAATCCTATCCGTCTAAGCCATGAGAGAGAGACTGACCCCTTCGGATCTACTCACAGCGACCGAGGCCGCTCGAGCCTGAATACCCACCGTTCCTACATGTTTTTGTCCCCATATCAAGTCGTGCGATGCGCCGCTCAATCCATCTGAAACCAGCAAGAGGTCCGAGTTTCAAGTATTTGGGGTGGAGATTTGTGACGATGCGACAACTGTGCGCCAAGGAACTCTCTGACTGAAAATCGATAGAGACGCGAATGTATGGCTCTTCGAATCCGATTTGTACGTCTATGACCTAGGCTGGGATAACCTCTCTGTTGACGATTCCACATGGCTCCTTGGGTTAGTCTTCCAGCACCACGATATGCGGCAAGCGACCTTGGCGGAGCTTGTGCGGAGAGCCAGGTCGCACCGGATCGGAGTCGGTGGGCGAGATGCGTCGGAAGCAGAATCAAGGGCCGTCGATCACCGACGCTCAAGACCTCAGATCCAACTCAGTTAATGCACATGGAGCTCGGGAGGATATCAATCCTGAAGAAGAATGTAGAGCCAGTTGGATGATCTTCGCGGGCTTCCTTGGGTCTGCCTGACCGCTAACACTACATCCCGCTCGACTCATCATGCGTGCACCCCCGTACAAATCCCGCTCAAGTCCTCCATGTGGTTTACAGTAACAACTGGTTTGGTTCGTGCGCTGAAAGAACCGATCACTCGTACGCTTCAGAGACTGGATTGCGAATCAGAAGGCTGCCCGCGTCTGGGCCATGATTACTTCTGGAAATTCCGCCGTCCTTATTCGAGGACTTGGTCAGTACTGTCGAATGTAGGGACTGGCGTCGATGCCTGATTTGAGTAAACACTGGATATCGATATAGCCTCCGTGGTATCATTACCTGCCTTTCGCATATCCCAGTCGAAAACGTAGAACCTCCATGTAGCATTCTCGAACCGTAGCGCGCGTGTGGTGAAACGCCAACAGGAGTTTGCGAAGCATGCAGGGGCAACTAAATCCCACGACAGCCGGTGCACAACAGCCGCGGCGCTATGTCCCTCCGTCTGCTCCTAAGAACCAATAAAAAATCGACCATCTGCCGCTGCAAGACGGCCCCCGATACTTTGAATGGATTTACCGGTTATTACCGAAAGTTGAGCGACTGCAAGTCATTCGCATCACGACTTCTTTCCAACAGACTCCGGCTCATCGCACTTGGAATTTCTACCGTCGCGAGGTGTTTCCTGGATTTCGGCGTGAAGCGCCGAGCAACGTTCGATACAGCGGCGGACGTCGGGCCCGCACTCAGGGTGGAGCCGCATGCATGAGGAAGCATGTACGAGATTTATGTTTCTCTAACAATTCCTTTTCGATAACATTCAGGCACAACAGCGGAGCGCGAACTTTGCCCTGCATGATGTAGAAAAAAACATCGGTCTCGATATTGAAGTCTATGGGTATTTCAAAACGATTCTGGGCTCTGCAACACGAGGACCGACCCCAGGGACCGCCTGCAGCGAGCTCAGCTTGCCCACTGCGGGGGAAGTTATCAAACATCTGGAAATTAATGATCGTGACGTACAGCATGTTGGTGCCGAGTATGCAGAGTAAATGCGAGGATCAAGAAGAATTAGGGCTTGGCCAGGTGCCGAAGACAGAGAAGACACATTGCGAAACTACAATAATCAAATCGCGCAAAGATCTGACCCGAAGTGATCGTATTCAATACCTGAACTGGGATGCGAGGCCCACACTCGGATCCTGTGACCGCCATCGCAACCGCGTAGTCCATGCGCAGTCGGTGCGTAAGCCTGATTCGAATCTCGTCGATAACATCTTCGGTAGATATTTCCAGAGGTGTGCAGGTGCAGAAGATCGGACCATGTGCATATTTGGTGAGATCGGAGCCTAGCGGCGGCGATGCGCTTCACGGCGATCTAGAACTTGAGATCAATATACAATATAACATCTGGACACTAGCCGTCCGTGACACCGGCGACACGATGAATTGGCCTGACTTGCCCTCCCCAAAAATATTCATTGGCTACCTGTGCGGCTACCTCTACAGATGAGGCAGCCGGGGTAAACAAATCCAGAGGAATTAGGGGAAATCATAGAAAATTATAATTAATCGGTGCATAAGAGATATTTAGACCTGAGGAAAAGAAAATTGAAAATACCGCGATAATTATTTTGGTGAGTTCTGCAAATGCGCCAAACCTTGTATCCGCTTCCCCTGATGACTTGAACCCCAGTAAGAGGGGTCGAGGGTGGGAACTGGGAAGATACTGGAGGTCTGAGGTGTAAAGAGAAGCAGAGGACGAGCGATCGGGTCTTCATCTGAGCTCGAATATGCAGGACGAATGTCGATGAACAAGCCAAACAAGATGCCCATGATCACGAAAACACGTACCTGGGTCTTGCGAGCAACCGACAACGAAATCACATCTGCGACAACATAAGGACTCAGGCCAGCGAGTCAAATCCGCCTTTGAGCTGCCACGAAATTGGAACGCGTGGCAGTCATGCACGGGAGTCGTGCTCGGAAAGGCTGCCCCTGCGGTACTGTTGATCCCAGATGGGGCCGCTGTCGACGCTGACAACGCTCAGAAACAATATTCTGAGTAAAATATAACCCCCGTAGTAACAGCGTAGGCAGCGCAGGATAGTGGAGCGGAGGATACAGGAGCCAAAGAGGACCTAAACAGCAGCAAAAGCGGCCGTGTCAGAAATGATGTGGTGAGCAGATGCGGGGTTCTCAGCAGCTGCAAAGGCCGCGGAGGAAGTGGTGATAAGTGGGTATAGAACACATGCATCACTATGACCTTCGCCGTTGCGGCGGAGTTCCCTTTAGGGACAAAATCTGGGGTGGGAACTGCCTGAACGATAGCGACTAGAGCAAGAAGCTACGAGAACGAGGAGACAGTCTGGGGTCATGAGATATATAGATCCTCAGGCCGTCGCTAAGTGCTCGCAGAGGGAAGTCGTGAACGGCGAGGGCAATTTTACCTGTCGAGGGTGAATTTCGGCTCTTAGGATCAGCGAGCATTTATTCTGTTCACTGATTTGGGGCACATCCTGAATCTAATCCAGGTAAAGAATTAGACGAAATGAAGCACTCTTTCCCGCCCAGAAATCGGCAGAATACAGCTGGACCAGCGAGCGGAGGCTTTGTGTTTTTGATGTTACAGCCAACTCGTGCCATGGATGGTCACGTATGATCGGAACGGTCATGGGGGGTCAATAGAGACCTATTATTCGTTCTACACGCGAGAGTAAATTTAGCTGAGGCTCCTCGATGTATTCTCGGCCACCGACCAGAAACTGAATGCATCTGAAAACAAACATCGATGAGTGGCGATGACCGGCTTTAGTACGGCCCGGAGTTCGCGTTAGCTGAGCCGCATTTCCGAGCCCTTTGCGATCATTCTTGCGCGAGCTGATTCTCCGGGAAAGCGAGCGGATTCTGTGACCCAGCGAGCTGATTCTCCAGCCCAGCTCCATCCGCAGTCGGAGAGTCCGGCCTGCCGGCTGTCGGTTCCTCGGCTACTCAGCAGATCACCGCCTAGACCATCCCCCTCGGCCGCAGGCTAAAATGCGTCCTGTCAAGCTTTAGCTTTCGTCTTCTTCGAAGGTCTGTCTGATGCTGGCCCCTGCGACTTTGATACTTGCTGAGAGTGGCCCCCAGTCACTGTCGACTGGTTTCCGTCTCGAGCGGCTATATTCACGACGAAGTAGGCCCGCCAGAGCAGATTTTGCACCACGCGCAACTTAGATTGCCCGAAATCAGATTTTTTCCCCGATTTCTTCTAATTTGTAATGAAACCAAGATTAGCTCTCTATTGCTTACAGCGCACTCATCACCCCCGGGCGCACGAACACGGTGCAAGAAAGCTATCATGTTTGATACCCGGGGCAAAGGCCTGAGAGATTTTGCGGGGATTTCTATGCTGACTGAGCAAACACTACTTCTCACCTCTATAAAATCCCCCCGATAAGTGAAGGCTATCTTTTGACTCTGATTTGGACCAAGTATTCCGAATCACTAAAGGGGATAGTGCCTGGGGGCCCGCTAAGCGTGTGCTCAGAAAGGTAATGTCCGCGCTCCGTTGAAAGGGCCGAGCTGCGACATTTGCTCGAAATGTGGGACGGACCAAATGGTCGTCCAACGTTCATGCCACAAGTTTGGGCTCGCCTGTCACCGATCTTCCCGCTTTCCCCTCAATGGGTGTCCGGACATTTTCCGCTCAAGGACCTCTGTGTGGCCATCAGCTCACCGCCATCATCCCTCATGTCACTCGGGCGGCGTTCGTTACTTCCGGTTCATGTGAAGACGTCAGGCCCAAACAACTCATCGACGGAAAACATGGAGAGTTTGGCTCTGTCCGGACTTGAAACATTGAGGGCTGCTTTCCCACTGCTATTCACCAGGGGCTACAGGTCGACCATGCTACTGAAACGCATGTGGAATATTCAACGCCAATCTGGATGCTGTGCACGTTGTTCTCGTCATTTCCCGGTATTCGGAGAAGCAGTGTGTCTTGAAATTTGCGGTCCGTAGCAATGGTCGAATATTCCGAAGTCGGATTTCGAGGCGAAGGATCATACGGACCGAAACATGTGGCGAGTCGTAAAACGATCCGTCCTGAGCGGGGAGGTAACGGAACTGCAACGGGTCCACGGAACTTGAGATCGCCCGATCCAAGAAGAATTGTCAAGGCGCCTGTTGGCCTGTAACGCCAAGGATCAACGATCCACGCGCCCTTACAATCAGATTGATGAGCTCATATTCTGAAGAAGTGCAGTGCGTTGGTTCCACACATAAATACCGGACACGGCGCGACTTGATTCTTCCTCTCACAACCCCTTCAAGATATGGATTCCTATAGCCACTTGCGCTCTATCTCTTCCCAATACATGAATCAGATGCGCCCGGAGCGCCGAGTCGGTTCGCATCTTCGTTGCATGAATGTGCTTTAACTCATTCCCTTTGCCAGATTCCCTCACCGTGTTGTCCAATTCCTACATGCCCACCAACACGTACAACCGCAACCCGTCCCCCGCACAGCCACAGCACTCTCCGGGTCCCACCCATCTTACCAGAAGGGAGTTCGATTTTTCGGGCCTCATTACGATGCAGGAACCCTTGAACGTCGCGCATCAGCGCCCTGGCACTTCATTCACGAATTGCGATTGGTCCGCAGATCCTGCCTTCTGGCCGGTCTATTCTCAGCGCGACCAGTGGTTATCGCACGGCGAACTCTCGCCAAGCTCCTCCACATCTGCTTCGCCTTCTCCATCTGCATCTCCGTCCCTCTGTCCGCCCAATCTGTATCCCGGATACTCCGGACCTGCTCCTGCGAAAACGCCCAAGACTTGCGCACACTGTGGAGTAACATCGACCCCGCTCTGGCGGCGGGAGCCCGGCACAGGTCAATCGCTGTGCAACGCATGTGGCCTGTATCTGCTGCAGCGAGGCAAGTCCCGGCCACGTGCTCTCATCGAGGCGGACATGGACACCCCGTCCGTGGACGCGCACATTCCTGACTCCGAGTATTCCGGGACGATGTGCGCCAATTGCCGAACCCGCGCGACGAGCGTTTGGAGGAAGAACGTCGGAGGTCAGGTGGTGTGTAACGCCTGCGGGGTTTACGAGAGACTCAAGGGGCGCACGCGGCCGATCCAATTGAGGCGGGACAAAGTCAAGCCGCGGACGAGGCATGTGAGGAGAACGTTCATACTGAAGTGATTGTTTGAAGATTGTAGTTTGGATACCGTCATGTAATCGCCTATCTACAGATGTACTAATGGATGGAGAATCTCCTTCTTTCTGACGTCTTATGTATTTCCTCCGTCAACGAGATGGTCGACAGCACAGGATCACGTAACTGTCTAAACGGCCCGGAGATGGGTAATGGCTGTTACCTAGCCCAAATAAACTGTCTGAACGTCTTTCTGCTTGGATCAAAGGGATGCTTATTCACTCGTCCGTTCGAGCCAGTCACTGACCAGTGGGCCGGATCCTGCTTCTGAATCGCTTCAGTAGATATCGGGCCTGGGATTTTATGCCACATAGGACGATCATGAGCACTGTTTGCAAGTCAAAATGCTGTTACCGACGAGAAAATTTCAGTGGCGATTTGAATCAAGATTCTATCATGTTGCAAGTCCCTGGTGGTTTGATTCCCGATCCACGACGGTTCTCTAATACAGGTTGTAGTTGTCGCGCGAGAAGATGCCGTGCACTCTGGAACCAGTCCTCGCGCGGATCAAAACCGAGGATGAGTCACAGATCGGAGTGCAGTCGAATGGTTCCTGGCCGAGACGATTGCATTCGTGAGAGTTCAAGCAATGAGCTAATCGGGGGTAGCGAATGAGTCTACCATGGCTCCAACGCTCCAGGCTGCGGCGGAATCGGCCGATTGCAGTCTCGTGTCCGCAGCGTCGTGTGAATCAGGATGTCATCAGCGCGAAGACACCCGTCCGCACGTATTGCTTTGCTAGCCACACATCATAGAGCTGGGATCGACCTGCAAGGATATATAGTCGATACCAAAATACAGAGCGATCACGCTTCTCGGCTCCCGCGCCAATGCCCGTCATCTGTGCCAAGAGTCGGCGTCTCTTCTTTGAAGCGCAGCCAAGACGAAAAGTGTACGTACTTTCACGGTCCGGCGGGCTCCGACTGGGTCTGCGCCGGTCCCGGCGCATGCCCAGTATGTGCGCAGGGACACCGAATCGCACTCCCACAGGCGCCGCGACGGGATCGATCGAGCGCGAGCGGGCGGCCTGCTCCGTGACGGCCTGCTGCTGCAGACTGCGCGCGAAGCTGATGTTGCCGTAGCCACCACGACCGGGCGACGGCTGAGAAGGACGGAAGCGGTTTGTGTCAGCTCAGCGCGAGCGGGAGGGAGTAAACATCAGGCACGCACGATAGCTATGCGCCTCGCAATATGTGCGTCCAGCAACTCTCGTTCCCGCTCGCTGTACGCCCACTCGAGTTGATGATGTGTCGTCGTCCCGTGTGCGATGTTTCCGTACCCGCCCCGCCCCGTGGTAGACGCAGAGGAGAACGGCGCGTTGCCACGGCCACGACGTTGTGTGCGATCCCGGCCGCGAGGCCAGGGGAACTCAGGAACCGGTTCTTCAAGGGGTGGGGGTTGTGGAGAGTGTCGACAGGGTACGGGAATCGATGCGGGTGCGGGATGTGGGTGATAGTTGCCTAGGCCGCCGCGTCCTGTTGTGTACTGCAGAGACGGAGTGAGTGGGGACGACGGTTTCGTGATTGAAGGACGAATCTGACACCGTCACCATGGCCTGCGAGAGCTAAAGAGAGAAGAGACGATGAGCATTGGGGCAAAGAGGCAGAAGGGAGAGATGTAGAGGGAGGTGGTGAGACAAATTTGTGGCCGACGGCCGATAAGAAATACGGTCATCTCTTATCTCTCGTCGACTGCTTCGGACCACCACCACACAACGCTGTAGCAAAGAGATGCGCTCACCATTCTCCTCCACCAGCGTATCCGCGAGCGACTCGGTCTCCGCAGCCTCTCTACTCCTTCGTGAATTCCCCGTCGGCGAACCTTGTGCCCGGGAATGCGACGCGAAAGCAAGGGATATTCCGGAGCGCCGCGGGGGTCTCGTAGAGCTGGAGTCACGGCCATTCATAGCGGGGAGCAGGATGGTGGAGAGTGTCGCAATATGAAAGTCGTGAGTCACCGATTCCGGCAGTGGTGCCACCCATAGTCGATCCGTGAGATTGAGGCTAGCCTAACTTTAGCTAAGGAGGTTCGTCACGGCCGTCAGAGATGGCGTGTGAGCACGAAGGCAACGTGTGTCCGCGTCACGTTTCAGCCCATGTGTGTCTACCGCTCGTCGCGTGGGGCCTTGGCGCATGGTCTGCTGTGCACTTCTTGCAGACAAGAGTACTCATCCTTTCCCAGCACGATTCCGGCTCTTCGTGAGGCGCCGTACGATGTCGCACTTGAATGCAAATCCTCCTGCTCGTCCGTCCTTTCTTTTGCTCGCTTGCGGCAATCATCCTCGAGGCTTTAGGCGCACGGTTCGGATCCCGCCTCAATCATATCTCCTGACGCTGCCGTCGCATCAACGACCGACCTTTGTCTGTGAGATGAAATAGAGAGGACTCCCACATGCTCCGTTCACACCCTCCCCCAAGTCTCGTCTAAAAATCCCAGTCTTACATGTGTTGCATGTTTGAACGTGCGTTACTTCTACCCACGAAAGACTGTTGCATCTGCCTTCCCATCCTTTGCACGATGTCTATAAGAGCGACGCGGGGGGCTACGTGAAACAAGCTGAACCCGAACCTTCTCCAAAGCCAAGTCCCAGATGATCTCTTTCAACGCAATCTACCTCGCTAGTTTCGTCGTTCTTGCATCTGCGCAGAACATATTACTCACGAATGACGACGGTGTGGCACAAGAAGAGTGGATGATTCCGCAGATGCTGATGAGAAGTCTAGGATGGGCCGTGGCTCTGGTTCGCGCACAGAACGATGCCCTCAACGCCGCCGGTTACAACGTCGGCATTACGCCATCCGGTCTCCTGGTATTCTCCCACTCACATGCTCCCCAGGTCGTCTTGTCCTGCCCGGCGATCAATAAATCTGGCACCGGTTCGTCCACGACGACTCCGACAAAGCTCACACAGCCGTGCGAGTTCAACACGTGCCCGACTGGGTCCCCCGCGGAGGGTTTCAACGCGACGAATTCTCGCCTGAATTGGGTCAACGGCTTCCCTGGTGCGTTGATCGCATTGCGTCTGCATGTTACTCACACCGGCGGTCAGTTGATTCTGCGAAATTTGGTATCCAGACGCTGGGACCTAAGTTCTTCGGCGGCGCGAAGCCCGTCTTCGTTGTCAGCGGACCAAACGTCGGAAGTGAGTCAAATTGGGTTCTTATGTGACATGAGTCATGGATACCGTGTAGATAATCTCGGAAGCACGGTTTTGGTCTCTGGCACAGTGTGAGTGCCAGTCCAGGATTCCCTCCAACCATCACTCATCCAACCAGTGGGGCCGCCACCGAAGCCGCGAAGGAGGGAATCCCTGCCGCAGCCTTCTCTGCCGCGACGGGCGATCAGATTTCGTTCACCACGTTGACCACCTCGCCGAACTCGACAGACTCGCGCGCCGCCATCGTTTACTCCCAACTCACCACGAAAGTCCTCTCGCCTCTTTTTGCGGCGGGAGCCCCCATCCTGCCCGCCGGAATCGTCCTGAACGTCAACTACCCGACGTTCTCCGCCTCGTGCCCGACTGCCTCGGCGTTCAAGTTCGTGCTTACGCGCATTAACGCGGACAGCAGCGCGACGGATGTCCAGACGTGTGGGTCTACGCACCTGCCTACTGAATCCAGCGTCGTGGCCAAATCGGGATGTTTCGTTAGTGTCAGCGTGATGGAGGCCTCGAACAAGGGGGATGCGCCAGCCGCGACTCAGGCGATCGTTCTTAGCAAATTGACCTCCATCTTGTCCTGCTCGACCTGAGCATATACTTGTACGATTAGCTGATATAAACGGCACAGTCCATGACGTTATACAATGTGTGTGTTTCATCTTTGTCTTTGTCCGCTGTTAAAACGTAGTGGTCATATGGGGTCAATTCGAGTGTGCGACTTTTACGCTTCAAGCCCGTCGAGGCAAAGGCCACTATGTGGTTATCAGCTGGGACGTTCAGTGAGCAGGTTTGACTCTCCGGCTTGGCAGGTAGGTATGTATGCCTCAGTCTTCTGTGCATGTTGATCCGAGGACAGGCCGCATCCCGTATGGAGAGAATCCGAGCTTTGTGATTATGGGAGGAGAAAGAGAGATGCGTTAAGTATTACTACCATCGTTCCGGCTGGTTGCAAATTGCGCGGCCGCCGTCCCCCATTCTCGACGTGATGGGAGGTGGAGCAGTAGTGACATGCCGCCGTCGCCGGGCAGCTGTGACTCAAACCTTTCCCAGGTATTCTTGTGAGGTAGGCGTCGGAATCTCATCGGGCATAATCAAGAGGTACTATACATGATGGTAAGACAACACGGGCAGTTCAAGATCGTTGAAAAAATAGTATTCATGGTAGTAGACAAGAGAAAATGAACTTGAACTGCATGGAACATCAACCAATTGCACAGCGGGCCCCACTTGCCCACCGGTCCCACCCTCCCGGCAACAGCGGCATGTCACTGCTGCTCCACCTCCCATCACGTCCAGAATGGGGGACGGTGGCCTCACAATTTGCCACCAGCTATCATGGCATCTTTGTCACCAGATCATTTCCCGATATCCCGCACTCGATCGCCACTCCCACATGTCGAAGTTTGAACTAAGGCTTGTGTGATGGCTCCTTGGGAATCGCTTGTGCCGCACGTGAGGCTTCTCTCATAGAATTTGTTGCACCGTCTCGCTGCGGCAGCCTGTTATCATCACTGCCAAGCTCTGTCCGGGAGGCTTGGGGTGTTTGCATCCCCTTCGTATGAAGGGGACCACGATGCCCGAGTGCAACCTCAATATGTTGGGGTTCAAACTGTGCCCGGATAAAACTGTCCAGGCTCGATATGGCCTGCTCGCCGAATCCAGCAAAAAAAATCTCCCTTATCAAGCTTAACCTGTGAACTCACTTCTGCGCAAATTGTGCTTCGGGATGAGATCGGAACGCCCCCATACACTTCTCAAAGCACCAAGAAGTAGCACGATTGATGTGTTTTACGGCGAATCTGGCCGATCATGGGGAACTTGTACCAGGTCATGTTGAGTAAGAGATTGCAACGAGACGGATGAGACATCGATTTTTTTCGCTGGTTGCTAAAGCTACAAGCGTGCAACGACATCAGCGCAGAAGATTGAGCAGCCCTCCAACAATTTGGGAAGGCCCTGAACCTTTCGACGATCATTGGTTTGACTAGGGGATCCATCCTGAACACGATTGGATCCTCAAAATTTTGAATATCGCGCATCAGCATATGATCCCCATCATGTGCAATGAAGTCTCACCTCAGTTTCAATCATGGCTACGAAAAGCCCTCGCCTCCGCTTCGGAAGCCCAACGCAGCGACGTGCTCGTCGGTGTTGTCGTTCTGGAACCACAGCAAGCGCTACACGAGATTTTTCTTAGCCGCTGGGATCTTGAGGCGCTTCAAAACAGCCTTGAGCAGTCTCGCCTCAACAAAGGTAAACGGGTCATACGCTTAACGTCAACGTTCCGGCCAGCGAGGTACAATCGGATACCACGCTATTCGCGCTTCCCCGCACTCATACGCTACATCATTCAACAATACATCTGATCTCGACGTCGAGCATGTAAATGTTCTGTAAATCCCCTGGGACCCGACTTTGGATGCCGATTTAGACACAGCACTATCGTAGGCTGACTCTTGTATGTATCACTAAACTTGAATCGCTATCATACAAGTCACCAAGCACGCTGAATGCGAGAAAGTACATGGGCAAGATACCACGCACACCACCAACTCGAACATGAATCTCCGTCGTCGTCGTACAAATCAGGATCTCATTCGTTATGAACTGCATCATACTGGGAGCCGATCGAGAACGTTTGAGATAGTGGAAGCCGGGCCCGAGTAGCCAAGTACTGTGGCAACTTGCTGGAAACGGCCGATGTCGGTTAGTAGCTATCTCACTCGGAGGAATTCGAGGCGGGCTCACACTAAGAGGACCCGAGAGCGGCTTTAATGTCGCGAGAACCGGTGTCGGGATCGACGGGCTTGCGAACAGCAGTTGCGTGAGCGAGTTCTGCAGCGTTCGCAAAGCTACGTTTATGCCCAATACCTCGTCTGGGGTAAGTGCGCGAGATGGCTGCTGATTGGTCAGAACGTGAAGCGAGAAGCAGCCAGGCACGATACGCACCAGTCCGGTCATGCTGCTCGATAGCTCCGCGACGAGAAGTAAGAGCTTGACTATGATCGTCTGCGGCAGGAGATCAGCGACCCGATTCAGAACCACGACGACAAGAAGCACGCTCACTTGAGCTCCGCCCCGGGAGTAGGCCACATTGGGCAGCACATTCATCACATTCACTAGCCGTGTGACACCCCACGCCACGTCCATTACTAAACTCCTTGTCGCCATGTCGCTCGCTGCCGCAGCGGATCCAGAGGGCACGGGACGTGAACCAGTGACCGAAGAGGGCGTCTTAGAGGCGGAGTAAGAGAGGTATGCAACGGCATCGGCCGAGGCTAGGGATGCGAGCCCTTGATTCGAGGGCTCAGAGGACGTCACAGGGAGAGCGACGGTCGCTACAGCCATCGCGAGCGGAATCGATGCGGGGATAAACTTCATCTTCTTGAGCAGTCGTTAGTTTGATTCACTGTCGGGGGCAATTGAAATGCGGGTGTTCAGTAAGTGTTAAGACGCGCAAGTGCGGCCGCACCGTTTATACGGCGGATAAGAGGTGTGTGTCTAAGACAGCAGGAGCGGGACATGAGCGAATAGCCGATAATGGTGAGGCCCGTGCATGTGAGCGCATGTGAGACATTTTCGTCCGGCTAAGCAAGGCAAGATTGTGGCAGGGTCAACTTTTGGGGGAGTGGAGACCAAAAGGCAAGCGGGACAAGACCTCGAAAAGCAGTCTGCTTTCCCGGTTTGACCCGAGATTCAATCACGTGATGTTTCACAAACCACTGGTGCATTGGACAAAGAAAATAAAAGTAAGCGGAGAAGGGTATTTCCGAACATGAGAAATCGGTTCCAGAAATTATATAGACTAGATGCCCTCAATGACGCATTTTTTGAATACGAACACGTCTCACGTTGCCCAGCGAGCCGAACGCTACCAGGCGCAGAATCCACAGTTGCATTGGGTGATACCGGAGCGGGGGACTTGGTAGGATCCTCTGATCTAGATTTGCGCACCTCCTTAACCTTGAACTTTCTTTATGCAAACTTTCGGCAAGTATTGGCTTCTATTGACCATTCTTCGTGCATCTAATATGTCACGTGGCTCGGGTTGAAGTCCAAATTTAGGGATTCCTCTAGCGAACCGAAGTATCCAAATTAGGTTGACGTGTTCTAGATATATTTCTGCTCCTCCTTGACTCTGATTCATGAACCAGGAGGCGATCAGCAACACACAGCAACGTCAGATCCGAATCCAGACATGTCCTGAGGTAAACCGAGCTCCGACACAGTATAAAAAGGGCTGCTCCTTGAACCCAATCCAGCATCACCCAGCAGACAGCGATATCATGCAATCTTCAGCCAAACTTGAACAAACGGCACCCAGTTTCTGTCTCTACAAACTACCTCCGGGCGTCTCCAAGGTCGACTTCGATGCGCAACTCAACCAATTCATGGACACGATGGCTCAGCTCCCGGTTGTGCAGGAAAATTGGGCCACCTTTGAGCTGGTATGTACCGGTCCGAACACTCCGCTGTGGAAACCGATGTCACCTATAGATCCTCCAAAACGACAAGCTTGATGGGTGCATCACCGACTTGGGTCTCCCTGCGCCGCAGCAATGCGCAATCCTGATCACCCACGCGCACGTAAATTCATTCCGAGATTCGCCGCGAGGGAGAATCTCACTCTTCCGAACAGAGTCATGAGCACTGCGAGAAGCTCACGAGCCACCCGTCGACGCAAGACATGGTTGCCGCCGCCACCGCATCGTATGGAGGCTAGGAACGGCAAGCTGATTAGCGAGCAGTTCCATCTTTGATGGCCGCCGGAATGATGGGGTCACATGTTTTTCTCAAAATCGGTGAGTGTTCATAGTGAGGGCCTCCAATGGCGTACAACCGGTCGTTTTTTGTGAATCGTTTCTTCGGGAATGTGAGGAAACCAAGTATCGGGAGGCATCCAGTGATGATCAGAATGATCACGTGAAACAACCTTGATGAGCTCGCTGACAAATCCATTGAGATCTTTCAGTGCACGTGATAGATTGATCAAATGATCACGTGCAACAACCTTGACGAGCTCGCTGACAAATCCATTGGATCTTTCGTGCACGTGATCGATTGATTTCAGGGCTAGGGCGCATCACTGCTCGTCATCGATAAGGAGAGAACGGGCTGTCATGAGCACAGATTGAGCTACCACATGTCTGCATTATTAAAGTCCTCGGGACTCTCTTCATCTGAAAACCACGCGAACAACTCGTCATCGCCCTCAATATCATTGCCTCCCACATCCGGCTCAACGTCGTTTATCATAGCATTGAGCTGAGCCTGATGTCCGTCATCTGAACGCACCCATCAGAGTAATCTATAAGAGCACTGGACACATACCAAGTCCATTCCCGCCGTTCACGCCACCCATATAATAGACGCCATCCTCTCCAACAACACCATCTCCACCACGAAGCTCCTGGAGACCAGGAAGAAGCTCGACCTCACCCTTGTACTCATCAGCAGCCTGAGTGAGTGTGTAGCCCCATTTCTCGTCCGCGCTTAGGTCCACGTCGTGAATCTGATCAAGCTCGCGGAACTTCGACAGTAGCAGGAGGTAAATGTCCCAGCAGCTCTCCCGGTCAACAGAGGGTGAGCCAATGTTGGAATAAAAACCGGAGATGAGGATGTTGAAGTCAGGTGGAACCAATTCGAAGATCTGAAGGGTGGGCGGCGCATACAATTTACGTACCATTGAAATTGCAGCCGGATCAACTTTGATCTGCGACAGGTTAGACTCAGCACCAGCTCAAACATTGTAAAGTGTTACCTTGAAATCTAGAATAGCATAGTCTTCGGGATACTCGAACATGTGCATTGGAACACCGTTAGGTAGAATCTTGTTGCGATCGTGGCGTTTGCGAGTGTTGTTGATGCGGTGCTGATATGCGTCGAGTTCGGCCTGAAGCCAGGGAATGAAAACCCAGCGAAAGACGAGGCTGAATGGATAGAATAAGTGTTTTGGAAGCGCTCATGGAACACGTACGCTTCAAGGAGAATATGGGGATCATACCAACCTTCATGAATTCCAACATCGAGCAAATTCTCAAAACCAGGCGTAAAACGCCGGCGCATCTGACTCCACGTAATCTCTGATGTAACGTTCTTTTTCTCCCGCATCCATCGGTGCTGAAGCTTGCCTCGAAGGTTGGGATCTTGATGGTGGCGGATCAGAGTGTGTCCATTGGCAACGGCGGTGTTCTCGTTTCCCGGATCGCTCTGCATGACGAGGGGCATGACTGTGCGCTCAAATGGATAAGAAATAAGCGCAAAAAAAAGGGAAACACGTACAACCGAGCCGCTCAATCACATCCAGGTAGTACTTGAGAATAAGGCGAGGGTTACTATTATTCCACCAGATATTCATCCAGTGAATGAGACCAAGGAATGGATCAATTCCAGAGTGAAGTGCAAGTCCGAATTTGTACTTCCACTTGTCGTGCTGGTCCATGGCCCACAAGTCGTTTGCACCAGCAGCCCAGAACCGCTTTCGACGAAAGTGTCCGCGCCGTCGCTCACGGACCTGGTGGGCCTCGTAGAGGTGGAAGTACTGCATTACAACTGGCCTGAATCATGTGAATGAGTGTATTAATAAAGAATAAAGTTCTAAAAACACACCGTGACACCAGTATTCTCTCCTCGAACTTCAACAAGTTTACCATCTCCCGCCCACCAGCCTTTGGATATGTAACGCGCAGCTTAATGATGTGTGGACGAATTGACTCGACGGTATGGCCCTGCTTTCGGGTGCGGACAAAGCCAAGCCTCTCACGTATCTTTCGAAACGTTCGAATCCTGATAAAAAGTCAGTAATGAGATCCCCATGCTTCATTGATTCAATGAATACATACCCAAGCCCGTACTCAGCCAGATTGATATGGTGTTTCTTGAGGAGAGCAAGCATCTGGATATCACTCATATTCTGCCGCCAATACTTCTCGATATGAGGGCGAAGAGACTCGTCAGATGCTGTGTATAAGTGATCAGAGAGAGAGAGAGAGCCTGGCCAACAGCAGCAAGAGACGGACGAGCAGGCTTGTATTGGTTCAACTGTCGAACGGGCTCGAGTTCATTGGACATGTACCAGAGGGTGTAACAGGTACAGACTGAGAGGGAGCGATGCAAAGAGGGTGGGGAGGTACTTATTTCAAGACAGTATTTATATCTCATGTCTGTTACAAAGAGGGGCCGGAACTTACACCAAGCTCCTCCTACGATCCGTTGGTGATCGGATGGTCTGACTCAGGATTTGAGCATCTGACAAAGGAAATATTAAAAAGCTGAGTGAGACACATGCCTCATGGCCGCTCGTGGCAAGGAACGCAGCAAAATGGCGCGCTACGCGAGGGCGCAGGAGGTCGGGATCATGGATAAAATTATGCACGTGTCGGCACGTGCATCGTGTTTTGATCCGCCTTCAATATTGTCGCGATAGTCTCTCATCTCATTGCTTGATTGCTCAATAAACTCGTAATTTCAGCCACTCAGCGGAATAGTCAGCCGGAACAGAATTGAGCCACCATGCTGCTTTAAGAGTGCTCTGTCCTGTGTCCAAAAACCCTGTCCTTCCGCCGGCTTGTCATGTCAGACTATACTCCTTCGATCAAAGCATCTTTCACGGGTGAGGGCGCCTCCCATGGTCCGATCCCATGTGACCGTGGCCCTGACTGTCGAGGAAACCAGTGGATTGCACCCACCGAGACTCGTCGCAAAGTACGGAACAAGAACCCCAACTTACCCGACCGCACTGTCTGTTGCCCATGTTACGAGTATTATTGCAACAAGTCTTCCTCGACAGTGTCTGCTCGCAATGGTGAGCTTCTTCCCTCCCTCTTTGGGATTTCTTCTGACTGAACAAAATAAAACAGGAGCCACTTCGGCTCAGCCAACACCCAGCATGCTCCAGGATGCCGCCATCATTCGACGGCAAAACATTGACGCTCGCGTGAACAGTGAGTTCAAATTCCATTTGCCATCCTGACGCGATTTATCACTCTTTCCAGATAGTGCACCAAAGGCCAACGATCAGCTCGTTGCCATTGCTCCTGGATTAATGGGTCCTCCAGCTCGCATTACTGGTGCGTGGTTCATCTACTGTTTCTATATGTAGTTTCTGATGACACGGGTCATATAGGTCCGCACATCTCGCTTCCAAATATGGGCGGCTTTGCGCTCCCTCTGCCGCCACCACAGCAGCCTGTGTACTCTAGTAAGGGATATTCCGCAAACCATGCGCAGTATTCTGCCGCTCGGGCGGGATGGGCCCATGCTGCGTATGCTGGTGCTACCCCAGAGACGATTTCTCTTATCATCGGAGTGCGGTATGAGATCCTGGGCAAGCCCAAGGGCGGAACGTTTGGGGTATGCTGCCAATTTTTATTTGTGTCCACGACCGACTTTTGAATTTGTTCAATTTCAGGCCATCAGCGAGGGCGTTGTAGTAGATGCTCGTGCTACACCACGAACAATCATCCAGACTGTGTTTGACAATGTCTACGGAAAGCTCCGGGTGCAAATCCTTCGAGACACCAAGAACGGGTTTGAGTTTGACACAACCAACTTCACCGTTCGTGACGTTGCCAAGTGGATCGACTTGAAGCGGATCACTGGGGATTTGTTTGATGCTCCATTTTACTATGCTTCATGTTTCAAAACGGGCCGGGCAAAGGCGGAAAAGGATCGAAATATCAAGGTTTTCACATCACCTGCTCCGATCTCCGTGGCACTGGTGATTGATCTTGGTGAATGGCTTCGACTCACCGACTTTTTGGATGATATGCAGGTATGCAACGACGTCTCATTTTGCATGTTTCAGTTGAACCCAAGATTTTTACAGATCGCCGAAGCTGCAGAGTCCGGATCTGCCACTGTAGATGGGAAACAACCGGTGACTAGGAAATCCTCTCGGAAGGTATATTGGTTTTGTCAAAATCACGCGAGACTAGACTTAAGATGTAGCAGGCTTCAACTCTAAGGAGTTATCGACGCACGACTCGCAGCTCAACACGATCATCTGCCTCAACTTGCTCAGTGCAACAAAACCCTAGTCATGTTTCCTCAACGGAAGGATCCACCGCTACTTTCGATGCCGAACAAGTGGCCAGTGCAGTAACCTTGATCCGCACCAGATTTGGCTCATCCGCGCTCTCCGATCTTGCTCCTGGTAATTCATCATCGTTGATTGGCGGTCATCTTGCTGGAGCGTCATGGGGAACAAACGTGAGTTGCCCATGATTTCGAATAACCAGGCTGATCAGATTCATCAGGAACTCCGCCCTGTTACGCCACCGCAGTCTCTTTCTCGCAAGCGATCTGCACCTGAGTATCGCTCTCCGGATCAACAGCGATTGAAGAAGGCGCTCAGCGAGGGAGGGTCATTGAAAAAGGCGGGAAACGCTCGTGAGTGTCACCATTTTATCCGCTATTTGTCTACTGAACCCTGCTTATAGCCTTGCACATCTCTGAGCACATCGAATTTTATCGCATCCTCCCAGTTGATCTTCATGATCTCCTCGAGAATCCGAGCTTCTTCACCTGTGATATCAAAGCAGCTGAGTTTGGTACGCTGTCCATGGTCCCCTCCGAAGAGCCTTTGGGCGTTGGCAGTTTCAAGTCGGCGCACAATGCACGGCTGAATCTCAACATCGTGTCAACGGGCAACATCTTGGGAAGTGTCCCCAACCAGCATGTGGCAGCAAAGCGGATGTTCGAATTGTGGAGTGAGGACAAGGAGCGTCTAAGGCGATTTGCTCCGCAGCAGGAGTACATCCAGACCATCCGCGAGGCTAACATCCTGGTCTGGGCCGTCTCCCTCCTTGAATTTTGTTATGCGTTCATTGCAGACTTCATCAAGAAGAACGGTAAGCCTCCGGCGGACTTGAAGATGTTCAACATTCGATTTGTCGAAGCCGGGCTGGCTCTCATTCACGACTCAAGTGCAGCTGGCCACAATGTGAAGGACACTTCCTCGCTACGCCGCACATTCCTGATTGAGGAGTTGATCAAGCCAACAAGTCCGTCTTCAGCAATCGAGTTTTTGATACTATTGACACCACGAAATCAGGAGAAAATCAGGACGAGACGTTCATCAAGTTTATTCACAATAATCTTGCAGCACCGACTCCGACCATCTGCTCCGACTCCCTGAACTATGCTGTCGCCGAATTCCTCTGCTTTACTCAACATATTCAGTACGAGAAGTCTGGGGGAAACGTCTTTCTGTCCGATCTTCAGGGTGAGCTCAACTATCAGAGGATGGAATGATTTCTCATAAGTGCTTGATTTTTAGGGTCTCCGAGTCGTCTTAGTGATCCTCAGATAATGACAACTCCGTGCGTTCTCTCTTCATGCGTACCACCTGGACTGATACATGTTGACAGGGAGATAAAGGAGCGCATCTTCGGTGGTGGAAATATCCGGTCTGCTTTCCAGGAGTTCCCCACTCAGCATAAGTGCTCCCGATACTGCGAATTCTTCAAACTCACTCCGTTGAGCACGACATTTGATGAACAGCATTAGTCAATTTACGTATCACAGCTTGTTGCTCATTGATTAACTGAACCCCGCTTCTTACTTGGTTTCCTCACATTCCCGAAGAAACGATTCACAAAAAACGACCGGTTGTACGCCATTGGAGGCCCTCACTATGAACACTCACCGATTTTGAGAAAAACATGTGACCCCATCATTCCGGCGGCCATCAAAGATGGAACTGCTCGCTAATCAGCTTGCCGTTCCTAGCCTCCATAGCATCGGGGTTGTTTGCGGACGCATGCGTCTTCTCTGCGGATCTGCACACGACGGTGCACATACCCGAGGCCGACGCCAGGGTCCACGCGTTCGGTGTCTTCAAGACCCATCCAGAGATGTCCATCCCGGAGCTCCATGCGAAGCTCGAGGAGCTCATGGATTCGATCATGGAGAACGTGCCGATCGCGAGGGCGAATCTGGTGCAGCACTCGCTGGTGAGTATTCCGAATGACATAAAGCTTGTTGTTTTGGTCAATCTGAGCCGGAGAGCAGTGGTTTCAGAAGACGGACGCCGTGTCACAGCACATACGTAACATCGGATTCGGCGATCCAAAGGACGATATCTTTGCCGTAATTTTAGAGACTGAGGTGCGATCTGATTGGGACTCATTTAGATTTATACACTGACAGATTGTTTGCTAGACGATGGAAAAGCTCATCGAGGTGAGGTTTACTGCGAAACCTGCGGCACAGCAGCTAACTTGATGTCACAGGTGATACAAGATGAGACATTCCAGGAAACCCTAATCGAAGGGCTTAAAGACTGTCCACACCTCTTGGAATGCTCGATTTTCTCAGCGGATGTTTTCCCGAAGTTGTGACGATAGGAGAATGAGTTCATTACAAAGATACGCAAACAAGATTTCATACGTAAACAGTTCAGCAGAAGACGACCCGGCTTAGATTACCGGACTTGGCATTGATCTTACAGTCGTTTATCCAATTAGAGGCCGAGGCAGCCCAAGGTCAGACCGAACAGAAGGGATTTCAGCAGCACGACAACATCAACAATTCTGCAGAACAGAAATCAGTACAATCCGCTGCCGGCCCGGGAAATAGACACATACAGTCCTCCCACGAGAACGAGCACGCCCCCGAGGACAAGCTCGACACCAAGCAGTAACACTTTCAGCGATTGGTCCAGACTAGCGATGAGGGTCCCGAGAGTAAGCACGGTGCCCGCGCTCTTGCATCCTTCGATAGTGTAGGTGATATCCTGGCAAAAGGCTCAGCAACCACGTTCCGCGCCAGAAACACCTCAAAAATGAAAAGCACCTTGATGATTTCCGCAAGTAAGCCTGCGCACTGGGATTTCGACCCTACGCCGGAGAGCGAAACCGTGCCGAGAGCGACTACGGCGATTTCGATTGCGGCTTCCAACTCAACGATGAGCGGGCCAACGGTGAGGTCCGTGGCGTGTCCCTGGGCGCAGAGAGTGTCTGAATGCGGAGTCAGCTCGAAGGGTCCACTTTCAACATTGCGAACCGACTGATTTGGGGCAGCACGACGGCAACCGAAGCCTGGAGGGTGACGATGATTCCGACGACATCGACGCCGGAGTTACGCTCCTCGACCACAGCGACCGCACCGGCCTCAGGGAGGGGAGTGGGGCTGGCAGCCACGAACGCGGTGGAGACGAGGAGCAAGAGAGAAGTGAAGTGGCGAAGGGCGAACATGTTTTCTCGGACAGATGCTGCTTGGAGGCGGCTGGTGAGGAAAACTGACTCGCAGCTCACCCTTATATACCGTAGTGTTCACAATTTGTACCGTCACTCCTGCGTCATAGAGGACCAGCGACGGGGAAAGAGAAAGCATAGCGAGATGGAACATACCTGACCTGGGCTCTGCGTGATAGATCCCCTTGACAGGCGGCTGTAGACCTTTCATTCCTGTCACAATTCGTTTTGTCAAGGCGTTCAGACATCGATCTACTGTGCGTCATAGAGAGTAGATTCATAGGACGATAGGACAGTTCCGCTGAGACCTGAAAGAGATACAGAGAGCAGGCCGAGCGTATCGCAAGTTTGAAAATCGCAAGGATATGTTAGAAACAGAACCGCCGCAAAGAGGTCCGATCAGTAGTGTCTTCATCAGTGGAGCTCCACCACATGGCACGGCGACTTTTCTTCTTGCCTGTCAACATGGGAGAATCGGGGTGAGTAGAAAGTCCCCGTCATCACGCGATTCAAGGGACGAAAAAAGGAAACATCAGCAGTACCCCGATTCATGAAGAGTCCGTTCAAAACTTGACCCTTTGGCTGGATTGAAGAATGAACGGGTCCGCCGATGGTCAGGACGAGCGAACACGGATACCAATCTGCAGGACCTGCCTTAAGATCCCATGATGCTGCATGGTAGCCCACGGTCCGAATCCGAATCCAATAGCAATGTCGCTTCTGACAAGATGCACGATCCAGGCCAAGAACGAGCCTCCTCGAAAATACGTGATCAGCAAAAACCGGGACGATGAGCAAAGGGTCGCGAGACGAACGTTCGACGTTTCTCAAGCTCATCAGTACATTATGAAGAGATCAGGTCAGATGATATCACCGCTAAGCGTTGCTCGGTTTGGAAAGGTGGAGAGGTAAGCTAAGACTTACTTCCAAAGCGATCGGATGATGATGTCCGCCCGTTGATTGCATGTCACCCGCCACAGCCTGAGATCAAAATACGGCCTCGGAGGACATGCCGACTTGATTTGCGCTGATTGTGCGCTATGATCGCCGATCATGCTTTCTTGTTTCGAAAGCGACAATCTCAATGCACTGTGAGCGCTGGAGCCTGCATCTAGTGGGAGATCAGCAAGTCGTTTTCTGAGGTGAAGAACCAGTCTTTTTGAAAGTTTCTGGGTGGTTTGAGAGAAGCAGAAATTCATAATAGGCCAATTTCACAAGCCAATTAATTTTCCATCAGCACATACCCATGTTTAACATCAGAGACTCTCTCGGCATAATGACTAAGACCTGCGCAATCGCATCGACAGTTTCAATACAGGAAAATGGGTAAAATAGCCCCTTCGCGCCAAGGAGTCTGAACCAATCCAGCGTGACACCGAACGTCCTCAAATAGTATCGACAGACATCTGACTTGAATAGAGTTGAAGAGAGTTTGGGTGCCCGTACTACTGTTACATCGGTGGGAACGTGAATCCACCCTGAGCACCCCCACATTTTACCCATAGAACCGGTTTGAACCACGCTCAAGCGGGACCTGAACGCAGCGGAACTCCTCAGCGGGTGGGGGCCGTCCCGCAGGCCACCTTGAAAGTCACTAAGCAGGATGTGGGACTCCAGCGGATCCCAATTGGTCCGTGGTAAACCGATATGATTGATCTTGATCCAGGTAGATTCAATGGACGATTGAACCTTCGACCTTGGCGATCTCGCGGCGACCATTCTTCATCTGATTCAACTTGCACAAGCAGGCTTTTATTACGTCTGTCTACGTGCGGACATTGGCAGAACATCTTATCTCTCTGTTTTTGTCGAGGGGTCTGCGTACTCACGCGGCAAATTCTGGATGCCCTGAAAAATGGTTACAGAAGTCGGACACTGTGTCACAGCACATTCGGAAAATCGAAATCAAGATTGAATGGACGATATTTGCGTGGTTCTTCCGGACAGGTGAGTTCTCGGCCAAAGTAGATGCGGACTAAGAGACTCCAGACGGCTAGGGCTGCTGACTCCTAAAATGTTGGAATTCCTGAGCGGATGTATCATCAAGGTTGCGACTATGAAAAAAACAAGTTATAACGGAGATTCAGAAAAACGAACAAAATTTCATGCTTATGTAGAACAACAGAAAGGGAGATTCATAGACGGCTCAGATTTCCCAACTTCGAATTCATCTCGGTCCCGCTTATGGGATCAGAGTCCGAGGCAGCCCAGGGTCAGGCCGAACAGAAGCGATTTCAGGAGCGCAACGACGTCAACAATTCTGCAAAAAAAGCAGTCAGCACGGTCTGCAGCCGGCACGGAAAACAAAAGACGTACAGTCCAGCCACGAGAACAAGCACACCCGCGAGGACAGTCTCGACCGTGAGCAGCAGTCCCTGGATCGCTTGGTCGAGCCCAGCCACGAGAGTTCCAAGCGTAAGTATGGTGCCCGCGCCCTCGCAACTTTCAATGGTGTGCGTGATGTCCTGGCAAAGCGCTGAGCGACGAAGTTGTCCGGCAGGGTGAAATGCAAGGCACCTCAATGATTTCAGCAATCAGACCCGCGCACTGGGACGGAGACCCGATGCCGGAGAGCGAAACGGTGCCGAGAGCCACGACGGCGATCTCGATTGCGGCTTCCAACTCGACGATGAGCGGGGCGATGGTGAGGTCGGTGGCTAGGCCACTGGTGCAGAGATTGTCTAGATGCGTGGTCAGCCCGGATGACCGCATGGTCGACTGCAGAAACCGCCAACTGACCGATCTGTGGCAGAACGACAGCGACCGAGGCCTGGAGAGTGACGATGATTCCGACGACATCGACACCGGAGCCGCGCTCCTCGACCGCGGCGACCGCATCGACCTCGGGGAGAGGAGCGGGGCTGGCAGCCACGAACGCGGTGGAGACGAGGAGCAAGAGCGAAGTGAAGTGGCGAAGGGCAAGCATGTTTCTCGGGCAGAGGCTGCTTGAAGGCGGCTGGTGAGGAAAAAGACGGACTCGCAGCTCACCCTTTTCAACTGGAATTACCGGACACTGGGCCGTCACAACTGTGTGTCATAGGAGTCTCGGAAAATGGGTTGTCGCCGCTGTGCGTCATCGAGTGCCAGCGACGGGGAAAAACATGCAGCGCACGGTGGAACATACCTCGACCCGGGCTTTGCGTGATGAATTGGCTTGACAGGGTGCTGTAAGCTTCGCATTCCTGTTAGCATTCACTTTGTCAAAATTCATGGACATTGATCTGCATCTCGTCATAGAAGTTGACTCCGCGGACAACTGTGGCTGAGAAATTGAGATAATACAGTGAACAAGCTGACGATTCTCTTCGCACATGAATCGCCCGGTTGTCTGCAAAGCATACCCACGGATTCGAAAGATCGTGTCAGCGGTCGGCTCAGCAGCGAAGCTCCACCGAATGATGGCACTGCGACTGGTCTTTCTGCCCGTCAACGTGGGAAAATCCGGGTGAGCTCAAAGTCCGCATCAGTACGCGGTTCCGAGCACGAGGAAGGCGAAGAAGCATTCATTCTACCTGGAGCTCGGAAGATCACATCCTCGACACGGTCTATCGAGGGGATTCCAGCCTGATTCTGGCAATATCTGCGCCCATGAGTCCCCCGATGGTCTGGACAAGGGAACCCAGGTACTAATCTTCTCATCTGCAAGGCCAGCCGAAGACCCCATGATGAGAGATGGTAGCACAAGGGCTGAATACGAATCCAATAGGAATGTCACCTTTGACAAGATGCACGATCCAGACCAAGAACGAGTCTCAAGAAAACTTCAACATCAGCTAAAACCGGGACGATGGATAAAGTGTCGTGGCGCAAACGTTCGACGTTTCTTATATTCATCATTACAGCACCAAAATATCCGGTAAACTCTTTACTGCTAGGCTTTGCTCGGTTTCGAAAGGGGGATGGAAAACTGCGGCCTGGTTCAGAGTGATCGGATGATGGATCTCTGATCGTTGATCCGACATCATAGACTGTTCCTAAAGTGACGTTCGATCCATGGAGTCGAAAGAGATGAACCAGGCGCTGATAGAGTACAGAGAGCTCCACGTTTTATATGGAAGGTGAAAACGTGGGTCCGGTTCAGTACTCTATTTGGCCCAGTCCACTAATCAGTAATGCGGCCCTGAGATGGTTTGCCATAGTCGCAA